GATGATGATGATGATGATGATGATGATGATGATGATGATGATGATGATGATGACGCTCCCTCCTTACTTTGTGTTTTCTACACTGATGATAATAATGGATAAATACAATGTCTTTCACCACCAGTCAGCAGCAATGCATTCCTTCGTGTGTGTTACTACACGAGCTGGTCCCGACACCGTACCTCAGAACTCTCCAAATTCGACATAGGAGATATCGACCCCACGCTGTGCTCTCACCTCATCTACGCTTTTGCGGAGATCGACAAGACCAAAATGGAAGTGGTTGCGGGAGAGCCAGCGGTTGAGGAAAACAAGGCGGATGGGTCAGGGAGATATCAGTAAGTGAGCATTTTACATTTCGACTGTTTCGTGTAAGACTCAGCGTTCGCCATTTTGAAAAGTGACTTATTTGTTGTTGTTGTTGTTTTTGTTGTTGTTGTAGTTTTAGTTGTTGTAGTTGTTGTTGTTGTTTTAGTTGTTGTTCTCCAAAAACCAAAACACAAACCAAGCGGTAGCCAAATTTTATCTGCTTCGATTCTTAGCGGTATATGGCCGCTATAGTGCGGACTTGGATAAATTACGGAGCCTTACTATGAGCAGTCGATTTTGACGTCACCTGTCACCTGTCTGCATAGTCGAGTTCATCCATTGGTGCCCCACCCCTTGCCACCACAGGCTTCCATCTTCCCTTTTCTCTTCTTTGACGTATTATTTCTTGAAGTTGTAGACCAATCTGTCAACTTTTGCATTTTCAGTGTATGTATCTGGCTTTTACCAGATCCTTCTTTTATTTAGTCTTAATCATTCCACGTCTCTGTTAAGCTTTTAAAACTTCGTTAGTCGTTAGTTGTTTTGTTTTTTAAAATCTGAAATAATATTAACAATCCAATTTCCATTGTGACGACAACTTTTTTATTACAGGCAGTTCAATGCTCTGAAGGAAAAACATCCCACACTGAAGACACTTTTGTCTATAGGGGGAGAACATGCGGGATCGGACAAATTCATTGCAGTTACAAGTACAGAAACAATCGCTAAACGTTTCGCGGCGACCACTGTCGACTTTTTGAAGGCCCACGGGTTTGATGGTCTAGATGTGGATTGGGAATATCCGACCCCTAATACTAAACAGACTTATGTGACATTGCTTAAGGTGAGGACAACACTGGCTATGGTTTCAGACAGTTTTTACTTTTTGTGGTTTTTATCATAATTTATTTGTAGGCTCCTTCTTCTTCTTCTTCTTCTTCTTCTTCTTCTTCTTCTTCTTCTTCTTCTTCTTCTTCTTCTTCTTCTTCTTCTTCTTCTTCTTCTTCTTA